TTTTTTTGGTTGTTGTCATTGCAACTTCTTAGTTTTTGAAAGCAATTCAATAGAAAGAAAGCCCTTCCTTGGAAAAATCCCAATTAAAGTTTCTTGAGCATCCTCTTGAAGCATGAGTAATTACTCTGGTGTCAATATGGTTATATACATGCTTCAAATTGGAATTAAAGACCCTGAAGAGCTGCATCCAAAGTAAAGATAGATAAAAAGCACAGCGGAGTTATTATCTTTCTGTCAGTTAAAGGAAGTTGCAAATCAAGCCAGCAGTGGAGGTACAATAATACTGTGCTTAGGCAAGAACAGCTGATCTATCTCTGAGTCAGGCTTATTCCTGAGGGCTTAGCTCTCTGCTGATTGCTATTGCTCAGCCCTGGTGAGAAAGCTGACCTGTGGCCTTCCTGACTGAGAATCCTGCCTGCTCCTAGAGCGCTGGTATCAATGTTCCCAAGCACTGGGAGGCAGATGAGCTGGAGAAAGACCTGGGTTTAAACCCATGTGACCCTCTGGGTATCCTGGCTGTCACCAAGTGTCCTCTCCAGTCTATTGCATCATGGTTCTCCCTGTGATAACCCAAATCCTCCCCTGTGGAATGTTCCTGCAGTGTTCTCCTGGGACCACATACATTCGGGCAATTCCTTCTGCCAGGTGGAAAAACATACATATAAAACTTTTTTCCTGGAGAATTCCTTTCTGCTAAAAGTTGGGTACAGCTCCTGCAACAGACTGAACAAGGTGTAAGTACGCAAGAGAACAAGGACCTCTGAGATACATTTTGATAGGGTCTCTAAGCAAGTCTCTAAACAAGGAGAGAAGGGTGGAAGTGATCTGATTGTAAAAACAGAATGATTTTTCTGCACAGCAGAGTACTAAAGCTGAAGTAAAATCCAGGAAGGCTGAAGGACTTCCTATCTAGAAGAAAGTCTTCAAGACTGGTTTGCTTATTAGAAGCAAAGAAAAGGAAAAAAAAATTCTTTAAGAGGGACAAATATGGAATTCTATTACCATTTTAACTACTGATTCCTTTTTATATAATTATTAAATTTTTTTGGGAAAAAAATGCCCAAGCAACAAATCTTTGTCCTACTAGTGAGCAACCTTTTGTAGAAAATAAGCTGAGACCTCAGAGCACTTCATGGTGAACCATGATGATAAAAAACCACCATAGACTCATACTGGCAAATCTTGAACAGCACAGATATTCACAGCCCTGCATCTTCTGACACCACCATGAGAAACAAGCATATCGTCAGCCAGCACAGATATGCTGGGGCATAAAGCCTGGTGCCTACCTAGGGAGACCTTTGTGTCCCTTGATCCCTTTGCAGGTGTCACAGAAAGCCTCCCTGACAAAGGCAGCCCCTGCTTTAACACAATTGCACGCATGCACCCCCCCCCCCCACCCCCGCTCTCCCCCAGCAAAGCCTGCAGAAAAAAAGCCAGTGTGATGAAGCAAAAAGCATTTGGATATGGCAACATGTTTTGGTTTCAAGCTTCCAAGAGGCCTTTTCATAAGCAAGAAAAAGAAAAGAGGTTTTTGAAGGGGGAAAACGCATTAATGGTTATCTTCATGTAGTCACATATAAAGGAGGTTCTGAACTATGGAGGCTGTTTCCTGCACATGCACCTAATATGTTTATTGGAAGGTTTCTTAATCTCCTTTATGCTGTCTTCAGTGCAGCACCTCTTTCAAAGACATTTTGATCCCATTCCTGAATTCTCACTGGAAAGGATACTGCTCTGAAGACTGGAAAAATATATTTTTCAAAGATATTTGGGATCCCAGAGAAAAATTAAAACACTCTGTTTTTCTTTGGGAAAGTTGAAGATAGGGATTTCCTGCCTGTCGTAGATGAATCAAAAGAGGCCTGAATAAAAAATCACAGAATCTTAGACATTACAGCTAAAATGACATAGAAAGGTCACCTAACGAATCTCTTTATCACTAACTCAGGAGTACAAATTACTTAGGGCCTCCTTAGGTGCTGAATTTATTGGGGAACCTCTAGTGTGGAACAGTTTTAATAAAAGGGAGACTTCCTTATTGTTCCCTGTCTCTGTAAACAAACACATAAGGCTTTATATTTCTGTTTCTCAAAGAATTACCTAATGAAAGAGCCAACCAGTGGTAGAAAATATTTCCATTTTTGGAAACATCTTCATTTTTGTTATTAATGATACGTTGGGATTCCAATGAAACAAGCCGTGGCTTCTGATATTTTTGGTGCTGTTACAAGTATAAGAAGTTCCCTTGAAACCTCTAGCTGTCTTCTTTCCAGTAGTACATGGCAAATGAGTCTAAAAATGAGACCCCAGGTCCTTACTCCAGCTAAGCTTCCTTGGCTTTGGTTAGGTTTTATCTACACACAGGAGTTTAAAACAACTGACCAAGAAGTGAGCATGGATCATTATATTAATTTCTTGGGTTTGTGAAGAAATAAATCAGGGGTTATTTTGTTGTCAAGGAGACATATTTACATTAAGTTATTATGCTGAGATGGAACTGGATACAGACTGTACCGCATGAAGAATGAAGAATGCTTTGAAACATTTGCAACACAGAGCTTTTGAGACAGACACTGTCCCAGTCCAGTCACCTGGGATTAAACCGCAACCCAGTCCCACCTCTTAATTGCAGATTGTCTTCAAGCACCAGAAATGCTCTTTCACTGAGCAGGGGGAATCAGGACAGCTGCTGACTCTCCTCTAGTGACCAGAAACACTTTCTAGAGATGCAGGATGCCCATGAGATGAGGAATTTGTCTTATCCCTTGGTGAGCATCCTTCCACCTCTTTTTCTAGAGACACACACACAAACAGTTCCTAGTTTATGCATGGGTGCGTGTCTGAGCAGAATGGCTCTAGCCAGAGTCAAAAAGGCAGAAGATAGAGAGTCACAGAGCTGAATCTCCTTGAGGGTCTACAACACAGAGAGATGCTACAGGTGTAGCTGACACCCCCTTCCCCATGCAGTTACCTGTGCTAGTGCTTTGTATCCAGCGGTTCCCACAACCCTTCAGTAGGGACGATTAGCATCCTTTGGCCTCTTCAGCTGCACCTTCAGCCTCTTCATGCCAATCTGGAATCCATTCATGGCCTGGATAGCAGCTTGGGCACTGGCAGGATTGTCAAAACTCACAAAACCTGTCAAAACACGAGGCAAGGCAGGGGACTTAATGAGCCGAAGGGTGCCAAGGCACGTACATGCAACGACCACTGAGAATGAACATGGGGAAGGGAGTGAGGGCGCTGAGAGGAGGGAAGTGAGCAGGAAGGAGGGTGGGCAGGTGGGCAGGAGAGTGAGGAGAGGATGGTTGCCAATGTGGGACAAAGGATAGAAGGGGTTACAGATCAGTGTCCCAGGACACAGTGCCTGGTCTGAGTGCCAGTCTGAACACTAGACTATGTGGAGCACAGGGATCCAAATGTTGGTGCCACAAGATTTGTGTCACCTTTGAGCTGGGAGTCAGCAGATGTAATTCATGGTCTCAAGGCACTCTGTTTTCCTCTATCTCCCTCCACTGTGACTTAGGTAAACCTCTAAACCTTCCTTAACTTGCCATCATAACCTTTTCTTTGTCTTCCAATACTAATGATGAGGGGAATCTGACACACCTACTACTACTTCCTTATTATGGCAATATCAGTAAAATGTGAATATAATTAATTCTTCATTATCATATTAATCAGCATGAATGGTTTGATTGTTGGCCAGCCAAGCAATATGAAGAGATTTAATCACTGGCAATTTCTGCAAACTCCATATTACTCTGCAGTTGTGTGGTGAACACAAGTGCTTTCGTAACATTGTTTTCCTATGGAATTTCAAATTTTGCCAGCAAATCTCCCAATCAACCATGGAGCACATCCAGCATTAGAAACAACTATAGTGACTGAATATTGTATTTATGGGTCACCTAAGACATTCTTTGTCCTCATTTGCTCTCTAACAGTCTGATGAAATAATATAGGTCAACCACACAGGATGCAATGCATCTAATGCATTCAGCTCAGGGGAGAGCTCTTGGTATAACTTTGCCTCTTTTTTCTGTTTGTTTTTGGGTTTATTTTTAAAATGTATTTTTATTTTTAAATTTTTATTATGTTAGATTAAAAAAAAAAAAAAAAAGGCCTCATTTTCCCATGCTGTTTATGGCTGTATCTGGAGTGACCATGCTCTGAGATATTAGCGAGGCAGGGGGCCATCACATTGTACAAGCATTGCCTCTGCTACTTTTGCCAGAAATGTCCCTGTGTGCCAACAACATTTCTGAGCACAAACCTTGGGTGAGTCTAGCCTGGACCAGTCTGCTCTCCAGACAAAGCCATCTGTTTACCTAGCCCTGCAAGGCTCTGGCAGCACAAATCAATCCTAGGAGCCTGGTGTTGCTCAACAGACAGGCTGAAATGAAGAGATGGCTTTTGCAAGCCCCTCAAAACGCTAATGCTGAATGTTTGCTGCCAGGTATACATCTGCTCCTGACAGCCTTGGCTGTGCTGTGGATTCATTCTGCAGCCCCTCCTCCCTGGTCTAGTTCCTCTTCAGAAGTGAGTCTCACAGGTGACATAGGGTGTCTTGCATCTGAAAAAGACACAGCTGTGCACGCAAAGGCAACTTCTCACCCCTGCATTAAGCTGTTCTCCCTGACCTTGGCTAATAATGTAATTTCATGACAGGTCATGAAAGACTAAGGTCTTAGTCTCTCAAAGTGAGACAACAGGTTTGCTGAGTATGGCGCACTGGGTTTTAAAAGGGATGCCCATGGAATAAATAAGAAACCTTCTTTGTCCTCCCCTTTTGAAGCCAGGGCTCCAAGTAAACTGGCTGTCTGCACAGTTTTCCGTCCAACCCACTGGATGAGGAGTTACCAACACTGCAGCTCTGAAGATGAACAAAAAGTACTCTCAAGCCCCACAGCAATCATCAAAGAAAACTGGAGGGCTATAGTGAGTAATGAGCTGTGGTTTTATTCAATAGCAATGGATCTGCTCTTGCCCTCACTTTTTAGGTACTAAGTGATTGGTGATGTTACCAGTTTGCATGTGACTACTTGAATAATCTATCAACAAAGTCCTATGATTCATTCTCAACAATGGAATAAATGAAACACGTGAATAAATGTACTTGGTTTCACTCAAGTACATTCAGTCATAAATACTTCTGGAAACCCCCTTGGGGATGCCTTACTTGAGCTTCAACCTTAAATATGTTGTCAATATACTTCATATCCTTGAATATAGGATGTAGTGAAACTCATTTCTTTTTAAAAATCACATCTGGTTTTCTGATATTCCTGGCCAACACACATCAGTTACATCTAAAGCAGTAGACTAGAGCTGTTCCATGGATGTTCAGAGAAACTGGAACCTAATAATCTCTAGTGCTGAGGTTTTTTTAACTAATGTTTGACATCAAAAAATTCCTGGACAAAGTGTGAGTTTTAGCACAGAAGACAGGCTGTGCTCAGTGGTTAACTTGGATGTGTCCATGATGTTCTGGAAATTGAGAGAAATTAATAATTTGGGTGTAGGCCATTTTGTGCAAGCTGTCCCGAGTGCTAGATACAAATGCCAGGTATGTTTACTTTGCTGATATACACACAGCAGTCCAATATCAAAGTTGAGTTGGCTGCAGCTGAATGGTTGTTTAGCTCATTCCTTCAGAAAATATATCTTGCCTGGGAACTTTGATTTCTACTCTTGCAACAGGTCCTTTGGGATGTCCCTCCTACTGCCTACATGTGCACATCTAGATGGTGCCTGCACATCCATCCATTTGTGAATATGTCACTTTAGGATCCTACAGTAATCAGTGGAGGTCCTGCCAGTGCAGTCAGTGGAGGGTAGGGCAGGATTTCTCTCTTTTATCAGGACACCTTTAGCTGTGTTCAAATGAATCACTGGTCAGGGAGCAATGCTGGCTGCAGTGAAGGCAGGCACCCAGCTTAAATCAAGGAACCTCTGTTGTGGGATCTACCTGGTTCCACAGTTAGGAGTCACATCTCAACATAAAAAGTTAACTGTCTAAATACCTGGGTTGATCACTCCCTAAAGTGATGTTAATTGCTGAATAAAACCCTTCCAGAGATGCTGCCCACTATGATAGATAATTATTTCTTTTGTGGAGACTAGACCTTAGAGGGATGATAAGCCCTTGTGCTGAGGTGCTAATATAGTTGTACCTGTGCAAGAACCTTGCTGTGATATAACCTCATGAAGTTTTACCAGTTTTTATCATCACTTTGCATTTGAGATGGAATTCTAAGCCCACTTCCTCATTTTGTGCAAAACTGTAAGTAATACAGCATTTTAACAAATGGGACTAATAAGAGAGATCAGAAGTGCATTTGCTCACTATATTTCATTTAGACCAGATGATGAAGCTGGGAGTTGTACTCTGATTCTGGTATTAGTTTCCTATAGATTTGGACCAGATTTTTTTCTCCTTAGTTGTTCTAGTATTCACTGATGCAATATAAAAATCTCCTCTGGCTGGACGCTGAGGCTAGAGGAAGTGGATTTGAAAGCTGGGGAAAGAGATGGGCAAATGCCAATAACTGTGTATTTTCTTTGTGATCATAGTCTAGGGACAGAGTAACTAATTACTCTAGCTTCATTTCACTGTTTTAGTTTTCAGGGGCCTTGATATGCTCAGAAGTTGCTGGTGCATCCAAGTCTCCCCTTTTCCTATTATTTATGTATAGCTGTGTTTGGTATTGCAGAAGGTATTTGGATGAACTCCAAAGAGAAGGAAAGCTAGGGATTATCCTGAGATTTGAGACTTTACAGTGGATAAGTGATAGACAGAGAGACAGGCATGTTGGGCTAACAGCAGCATATTCCTTTCTCTCCTCAGGTCAAATACCTACTGGCAGATTTGACTTTTTTTGTTGCTGATATACGCAATATTGGCAGTCAACAATCTTTGTTTCTCCTCACCTGTGTCAGTGGGATTCATGGGACTATGAAAGATTTGAACATGTATGACTAGGAATAGAATGTATGCACTGGGAAAATAACATAAACACTCAGTTCCTAAATGGCTTTAGTATTTGAGCCCATGGGCTCAAAACACAATGGCAATTGCTATATTTGTTTTGAACACCACCTCTGCATTGTCATCGCCATGCTTGAAGGACGAAAGAGAAAGGGAGAGGTTAAAAAGCTTGAAGTTCTTTCTGTGCATCAGTTAATTAATAATCAAAGAAATATATGTTCTGGTCTGAAGATAGTTGGTAGGGGGACAGCATTTTGTGTTAAATCTACTTTATGGTGGGGATATTGGTAGGTTTTTTTCTTTTTTCCTTCTTCTCCCCACCCCCAGGGATTATGTAAAAGTGCTTCTCTAGTAAATGATTTATCAAAAGTGGCAGTGAATGGTGAAAGCTGCTAGAATAGCAACAGACGGCACCTAATCTTTCAGATTCTGCACAGCCTCTTCCAGGAAAGGAGCTTTTGTTGGAGCCCACTACTTCTTCTGGCTTGCTCTTTTCCTACAGGACTGTGTTAATTATCACAGGCAGAAACTGGGGTACAATTTTGGAATTGCTTTATTTTCTTCCCCTTTCTTCCAGAGAAAGTTCTTGTGGTGTGACTTGGGGTGGGAGCTTTGTGCCTTTCTCATTACAGGATCAACGTGATCACCAATTGCTTTATGTAACAGATATCACCTAATGGCTGTTTTTCTTTTTTAATCATCCAGGATGATAAAGAAGGGAATTCACAATCAATGTCAGAGTACATCTGAAGATTGTTTTGTAACTAAACTTTTTGTTTACAGTCCATGTGTTCTCTACGTGTCCATGAATTAATTTGTGCACTAAGAGCAGTCCTGAATGAGCACATGGATTCTTAATTGATCCTTCTGAGTTTTCTAGTTTGCTTTGCATCCATCAAGGACAATTAGTGGTTAATGTGCAAAACAGCCTCTTGATGATCTGTTACCAGGTTGAAATAACATCTTGTGTCTCTTGGGCAGGAGTGTTCCTGGGGATGGAGCCCAGTGCATGGTAACTATGCTGAACTTCCCTTAAATCAATCAATCTTGACTTCCAGATGTAAGCTTTTAATCCAGACTCCTGAACTGTGGACAGCTGATCCTACAGCAGGTTCACTCATGTAACTAGGTTGCCTTCAGGCAATAG